GGGGTGGGGGGGGGAGAGGGGGGAGGAGTCTGTGACAGCTGTAACACACACACACACACACACCTACTGTACACAGACAGAGTGAAACTCATCCAGTTTGATCTCTCTGTTCCTCCGACATATCCCTTCAATCTCACCCATATCTCCCGTCTTTCTCCCCCGTAACAAAGGGGGGCGCTCACGAGGGGCAGACAGTCATCAGAACTGTTGCGCAAGAACCAAGTTTCAACAATGGAATCAGGAAATCAAACAGAGGAAGAAAGAGAAAAACACAAGATCGGGTTTACGAGAAATTTAACGCAAAACGAACAAACGACATTTGCTGCGACGTTTGTGTCGGTGTCACGGGGGTCAAAGGTCAAAAGGGGAGGAGTCTTTTGTCGCCGTCTCCTTATTGACCGTCCACAGAATGACTCCAACACTGGATTTACAATTAATCCCAATTAACCGTTATTGGTCGTTATTTGTCAGGAAAAAACAAAAAAAAAAAAGAAACTTTAAGAAATCGTAGACCAGATGATGTCAGAGATAAACTGGGCGATGACATCATCAACTGGTGGAGATTACTAGTTAACCAGTTGAAACTCTAACCAGGTAAACTGGGCTGAAGAGTTAACTAACAATTAACACAAAAAAACTCTCAGTGACTCTGAGGTGACGGTGTTTGAGACTTTCATGGAGTCAAGTGGTCAATAAAGGGGGGAGGGAGGGGGGAGAGAGAGAGACTGGAATCACCAGCAGAGGTAGAAGGAGGAGAAGGAGAGGGGGAGCAAGAGTCTGATAATTGGCAGCGAGTTGCGGCTGCGTTCACCGCTCGCCAGGCGGCACAGCTTGAACTTAAAGCGCTGCTGCGGCATAATGAAGATGTGGCCCGCTAATTAACATATGGGCCGCCAAACAGGTTGGTTGGCACGCGGCGCGCTCAAAACTCCAAGGTAAAGTTATTATTGGGGAGTAATTAGCGCTACGAAGTTAATGCGCCGAACAATAGCTGCCAGCGCCGCGCAATATGGCTCTCATCTGAGCGCCGCAAAATAGCCCCCGCTAAAGTGCGAGTCCCACAGCTAAAATCTGTTGGCGACCATATGCTGCGGCAATTAATGCAGGACCTGCGCGACCTAATGCTGAAGAGGGGAACGCGTGAGCGATAGAACCAATAATTAATTTGGTGAGAGAGAGAGAGAGAGAGAGAGCGATAGCCGCCTTTTAATATTTGTCCATTAGGAGCTGCTGCTGTGGACAGCGTCTATTAGAGGCTAGCCTGCTGTGAGAGTCAGGGCTAACAGTTCACACACACACACACAGGTACATCTGTGTGTGTGTCAGCGCAGGGAAACAGCGACTTGGTCGGGGTCCAGCTCCGGAGTGTGAGTGTGAGTGTGTGTGTGTGTGTGTGTGTGTGTACAGCACATAGGTAAAACAGGAATTACCCCGGTTGTGGTGTAATGGGAGTTATTAAACAATTAGACAGGCAATTAGCTTAGCCGCTGCTGTGAGCACAGAGTACAGAGGAGCCGCTGTGTCGGACTGGAGTCACCGAGTCAGAGGTTTGACTTGTTTTTTTTAAATTAAAAGTCCAAAAATAGAGAGGAGACAGAGGACGGACTTGTCACAGCGTCAGCCATTACCATCGTAGATTAGCTCTAATACGACGTTTGTTAGCGGCTGGTCGACTAGTCATCAACTAGTCCAGACTCTGAAACAGCGTCACCTGGTTCTGAGAGAAACAGACATGTAGTTGGAACCAACTCTTTGTGACTGTTTAAAAAAAAAAAAAAAAAAAAAAAAGAAAGTTTGTATTCATTAACAGGACACAGTTCTGTTCCAACACCTGCACCTGTGTGTGTGTGTGTGTGTGTGTGTTCATGTGTGTGTTTCTCCAGCTAGCCTCAGAGCCACTCGGCAGGTGAGCTCCTTTCATCCCTGCTGCGCTTCCCCTCCGCGGCACCCTCAGTTGTCCCGGGCGACACCAGGGGGAGCCGCGGAGACGAGAGCCTTAATTAGAAGCCGAGGAGCACGGAGGGGAGAAAAGCAAAAGTTTGAGGAAATGTGCTCACCCCTCCTGGCCTAACAAGAGGGGCCGTAGCGGGGGGTGAGGGTGGGTTTGTGTGTCTGCGAGGCGAGGCGCGCACACACACACACACACACACACACACACACACACGTTCTGTCGTACTTCTGTCACTTGGAACGGGAGAAAAAAGGAGCACGATTGTTTGGTTGTTTTTACGACGTACGATAAATCTGAATGTAGAGTCAAAGGTTCATTTACGCTAACGGCTAGGAATAAGGGTGAGATCAAATGAAGAGGGTGACGTTTTAAAAACAAATATCAGAACAAAATCCTAAAGTAGAAAATTTCGATTTTTTACACTAAACTCTCGAATTTTGCGCTAGAGCGACAAAAAAAAATGTTTTAAAACTTCACAGCTGCACTTTTGCTTTTACCAACCCTAAACCTGGGTCACACCAGACTGGGTCACACCTGACTGGGTCACACCTGACTGGGTCACACCTGACAGATGGGTTCAATTCCTGGTTCATTGATAAACATTTCTGTTTAGAAACGTCCTCAAAACTTTTACAACTTTTAGTTTTGTTTTTTTTTACGTTTTGAGGATTTTATTCAACATCAGACACGCGGCCTGGATCAGACCAGCCTCACAGAGCGCTGGACAGTCAGTAAGTGTATGACTGGCCAACTGACTGACTGATTAATCCACAGCTACTCTGTGATTGGTCAGATTCAAAAATTGTATTTGATTGACAGCCCCTAATAGAAGCAGTTTGCGTCTCAATATTGCGACTCATCGTCCAGTTTTATTATTGCGTTAGCTGAGCTCAGGCAAACTAAGGCCCGGGGGCCGGATGCGGCCTGTTTGGCTTTTTAATCCGGTCCACCGAACTTGTCCAAATGATATCATTTATTTATATTATCATTATACGTCTGCCTTTTCCCTGCAATAGATGAACGAACGAACGCTGCATCTACCTGTTCCTGACCGCGCCCACCCTGCCCCCCCGCTGTTCAATTTTAGGACAATTGTGGACCGTGAATCAAAAAGTCTGCCCACGTCTGGACGAGCTTGTCGACCTGAGTGTCCAGGTCTGAACAGTGGACACGGTCACGTCCATGCTAGCTGTTATTTCTGCGTTTTTCTGTTTTATTAATTTAAAAAAAAAAAAAAAAAACAGACACGAGGACAATAAATAATTTGTCCATTTTGGTCACGACTGATGTTGGTCGCTGTTTTTTTTTTTTTCCTCTCTCTCCCCTTGAGCTTGAATATTCAGTTTATTTCATCACCTCTTCCAAGTGGACAGTTGAAAGAATTCTTCACAGTCGTTCGAGGTTAAGAACGAACAAAGCCAAAGATGTGCACACACACACACACACACACACACACACACACGGACAGCTGAACTCTGCCTTGTTGGGGAGAAATGCAATCACGAGGGGCTTATCACACACACACACAGACACACACGCGGCCGACATGCTGAACCTGGCGCCCCCTCTCTGGCAGACCATTGTATTGTGGGATTGTGCGAACCATCTCTTCATGAATGATTAAGCGGTGTGTTCCTCCACGAGTCTTTGATGATGAGTGTGTGTTTGATCATCAGGCGAGGCTGCGGCGCTCGCTCTCTGAAACGTCGGCGATACGTCGTCCAACGCCAGAGCCGGCGGAGGCCCGCGTTTTACATCCGACCGCCGGTCGGTGTCGGCCGCCACTTTGATGTGTGGAACATACGTGAAAACACGGGTTGTTGTAGCGACGCCCCCCTCCCTCCTCTGTTGGTAGTGTCTCTCTCTCTCTCTCTCTGTCTCCCTGTGTCTCTCTGCCCACAGCTGCCGCTGCGTGTGAGAAACTATTGTTGGACACGTTCAACGGAGAGACGCTTGTTTGGGAAAAGGTTGCAAAGTCATGGGAAAAGAGCGCTTTGTCTCGGCGGGTCGTGAGGGAGTGAATCATGAGCGGACGTTCTGACAGCTACACACACACACACACACAGCTGTGGCACACACACACACACACACACTGGAGAATGCACAGAGGAATCCTCAGAATGTGCTTTAACTTTTTTTTTTTCTTTTTTTGTCAATGGCTCAAAAAGGAGAACAATTCAGAGTTTTACTCGCACAAAGTCAATAAACACAGCTGCTACACACACACACACACACACGATATCATGAAGTCTCTTATCACACAAAGTGTGTGTATGGTCAAACTCTCTGGAGGAACGGGGATATCTGTGTGTGTGTGTGTGTGTGTGTGTGTGTGTGCGCGACGTCCTTTTTTGGACAGGGTGTTTCTCTACGACACAAAGCCAGTCTTTCTTAGCTCCAAACTCAGTGTCGTCTGCCTCCACAAAGGCGACGGCTATTCATTCTGGGCCACCTGGACCAACATAGAGGCTCCAGTGTCGCCCTCCCCTCCTCCACTTCTCCCTCCACCCCTCGACCCCCCCCCGAACGGACAATACCTCCATTTTTAAGTTTACATACCCGCCCGTTTTTTTCTCTTGACCTACGACAACCGGAGTCGTGGTGAACAGGCAGCGTCTCTCACTTCGTTAGCCTCCTCTAATCTGTGTTTACCGTCCGCCTGATTCGATTTGTTCAACGTCGTGGTCAAAACAAGGACGCTCCCGCTCACGAACCGTCGACGCTGTTTGTGTTCCTCGCCGCGTGAGTCAGCTGACCAGGTCTGGCCTTGAGCTGGACGGACTTGATAAGTCGACGTGTCGATGGCTGGGGCGTTAGCCGTGTTAAAAAACGGCCTGTTTGACGGGAATAAAACCGAGTTAGCATGTGGCTAATGCTGTTAGCATCTAAATATATCGGAAAGTCGAGCCATATAGTTTGGAAAATCTGTCTCTCAGCGTATTACTTCCTACTTCCTACCTATATATGTATATCTAATATGTACCCACTTATGTACTATGTTGACAGTACTGCTGTTGTTAAAAAAAACCTCAATATATCGTCTGTGTCTATAGTATCACAGTATATTGCAATATATGGTATTATTGTCCCATATTGGGATACGTATCGTATCGCCAGTTTCTTGCCAATACACAACCCCTAGTATATATGTACACGTGTATATATGTATATGCACGGTACATATATACTGTGAGTATATATGCATATATATATATAAATATATATACATATATTTATATATATATAAATATATGTATATATATTTATATATATAAATATATATACATATATTTATATATATATAAATATATGTATATATATTTATATATATAAATATATATTTATATATATAAATATATATTTATATATATAAATATATATACATATATTTATATATGTACATATATTTATATATGTACATATATTTATATATGTACATATATTTATATATTCAGTGCAGTTTATATGATGCGTTTCTGCCTGCGTTTCTATGAAAATACCGTAGGTCGAAGTATGTGCTGTATCAGTTATACTACAGTACTCCACCAGTGAAGTACACGGTGGAGTACTTCACTGGTGGAGTACTCTTGTTAATACTTCACCGTGTGACTCCACACTAACCTATAAATACAGTACAAACACAGACTTAGATCCAGGTCAGATCCCCAGGTCACCGTGTGACCCACCGTAATGACCGGACCGGTCCACCGGGTGGCTTTGGCTCGGGCTCCTCAGTCTGTTGTATTGCTCTGTTTCCATAAATCGCCCCCCCCCTCGCCCCCCCGCCCCCCCGCCCTCCCAAAAAATATAAAAACAAACCCAGATTTTTCCGAAGTCTGTTTCTTTATCTCGACACTGTCTCCTGGCTGAGCGGCTGATTATAGATTTGTTCAACACAGCTGCCGCTAAACCGCCGCCGCCGCCACCGTCTCCCCCTAATCCCCCCCGCTCTGTGTCCGTCTGTCTCGCCGTCCGTCTTCAAACACCTCTGCCGTCACAGTGGAACTGTCATCAGGAACCCGAAAAAAAAACGGCTGAACTCAAACGGCATCAGCTGATTTCTCCGAGCGCCCGGTGGTTGAACGCTCTGTCCCACACACACACACACACACAGACATACACACACACACAGACACACACACACACAGCTCACCTGGATCTGCTGCTGCAGGAGGTTGATTTTGTGCTGCTGCTGCAGGAGCTGCTGCTGTTGTCGGGCGATCTGGGGACAGGAAACACAACGCCGTTAAACCCCCGGGGGTAAACGTTGTTGGGTTAGGTGTGTGTGAGTGTGTGTGAGTGTGTGTGTAGAGACACATCTGTGTGTCCCTGAGTGCTGATGTCGACAGAACCTTCTGAAATATTAGAGATCTGGTCTCGTCTGGACTCTGCAGCCCGGTGGACATCGGGGGTATTACATCACACACTCACATTAATGTGTGAAACTGTGTCTGTTTGTGTTGACGTAGACGTACACATACGCACTAACAAACTGTCAATCGCCCCCCCACCCCTTTAAATCCCCCCATGCTGCCTTGCCCCTCCATACATTTGAATTCTCAATCCCTGGTCCGTGGACTGCTGGTGGTCCATGGGTCGTTTCGTTCCGGGCCACAGAGAATTAATTAAATAACTAACTTCATTTATTATTGGATTATTTTTATTTATTTTCTTCATTTTTTTTCGAATTTTTCAAAGTAATACGTCTTTACTACAGAATAAAGTTATATTTTATTTTGAAAATACGTCAACTCTGCCACTTTGACTCCTGTGCAGAAACTCTCCAGAGAAAAGTAGTTCAAACCTTTTTTTTTTTTTTTTTTTTCCCTCCGTTCTCGTACAGCAGGAGTCATTTAGTGCGCTCTCCAGTGGAATGCAGCTGAGGGCGCTGTAAGGTTTTAACGTGTTAGTCACAGGTGATTTACCCTCACAGCTGTGTTTATATTTTAGTTTTTAGTTTTTAGTTTTTTTTTTTACTTGAGTGTTTCCGGAGGCAAAACAAAAAAATAAAACAAAAAAAAAAAAAATAAAGCCACAACAAAGCGGGGAGTCCGCCTGGAAGACTGTAGCCCTGGAACCTGAATTAAGACAGTAGCTGGTGTGTGTGTATTTGTGTGTGTATTTGTATATTTGTCCGTCCAACTCCAGCCCTACATGAAGTAGGCTGGTTCCTGAGCTCACATCTTGAATCTCAAAATCCAATTAAACACTCTATGAAGTATATATTTCTAAATATATTCAGTTATATTTAAACTATGTGTGTATTTATATATTTATATATGTATATGATGTACAGTGGAGTTTTCAAAGTAAGAAACTTTTGCAAGATTTTCCCCGCGATACAAGGAAACATCGGGTGACTCAACCGAGCCATTTCTATTCGACACTATGTGGCGCTGTCGCGTTCTCTTTTTTATAACAACAATATTAAATGGTTTCTTAATTATTATTATTTTGTACTATGAATATATTTGTTTATATCTATGTTTTTGACGGAGGGTAATTTTAATTTAATTCATTAATAGTATATTTCTGGGTATATTTACGAGTACTGCTGTGGAACCGATTAAACTTGTATCTCGACGCCCCACTGTATATTTATATATTTATATATTTACGTCTATATTTTCAAATATATTTCACCGTTTCAGCCGACAATCTATTTTCAGATATGTCGCCTTGATTAAACACAGTTCTGCCACGTTTGCGTACGTTTCCAGAGGAGGCGCTCGGCACTCGGCGCTCGGCGCCGGTGGCGCGGCGTGATCCTGTACCTGGTCTTGTTGCTGCTTGGCGAGCTCCATCTGCTGCCTCTGCTTCTCCATCTGTGAGGCCGCCAGTTTCTTCTGCTCTTCATGGGCCGCCAGGAGCTGCTCCCTCAGGCTGCTCAACTGACCAATCATGCCCATTAGCTGGCGCTCTTTCTCTGCCAGGCTGTCTGGAGTACCTATGTGAAGAAGAAAAAAAAAGAGAGGGGATGAGGGGAAAGGTCGAAGGTCAGGTGGTAGCTGTTGAAACACAAGTGCAAGACTTGGCTGAGATTACACTATAAAAAAAAAAAACTGGGTCGGAACTCTGCTGTCGTCAGCCAGAGAAAAATACGATGCACTTAAAAATCTGTTCAGACTGAGACGGAGAGATCGACAGACCGTCGACCAAATGCTACAAACGCTGACTGCGGTCGTCGATCGCCCTTCAGTCAAACCACAGAAAGATGTTGTTAATTATGAGCCTGCTGCCGCGTCCTTCAGAGAGAGAGAGAGAGAGAGAGAGAGGGTGAGGGAGAGGCCGTCAGTGTCGGATTAAATCTGTTTAAAAAATAGTCAACTGTACCTTTAATACGGAACAGAAACGTAAAAAAAAAAAAAGACGGAAAAATTAGATTTTGATTTGAATAAAACTGCAGAGAAATAAAGATGTCGGAGAGACGATGTGGAAATATGACGTTAAAACAACTAAAGAACTGTTTGAAGCCGGACGTCTTTTTCCTGGTGGAGGGAGGGGGTCAAAGGTCAAAGGTCAAAGACATGAGGGGAAATGAGGAAGGAACAACAAAGGGGTGTAAAGCTCTACGTGGCTCGTTGGTCAACTT